TTAACCATTTCAGATCAAAAGAATCAAGATCCAGATCCCGATCAATAAAGAGATTATGAATAGTTGACCACCCGAACTCCGTTCAAAAGATTAGTGAAGATCGTTCTAGGATACCTAATTGTTTACTTTTCATTTATTTATTTGATTTTTCGCTTATTCTTTTAGAATAGTCATTCTCGTATTCATATTGAGTATTCTTAATTATTATGTAAGAAATATATATACTAATTTTATTATTTCGCTTCTGCATTCAATTTATGTCTTTATCTCTATTTAAAATTTCGAGTCGTTACAAAAAATTAGTGGATGAACTTATTTAGAAAATGCAAACTATAGAAATACTTATAATTTAATAGTTTAAATACTTGTATACGTCATATTAGTTTTTAGTTTATATTATGCATATAATATAATTTATGAAAGCTTTTTACAATTATAACAAAAATATTATGAATATTATTTTACATAAACAAAAAATTTTGAAAAAATGGTTTACAATAAAAAGTAAAAGAAAGAATGTATGCATTATGTTTTTATAGAAAATCAGTACGATAAATGATGTGTGAGAAATAAATAGACAATTAAGAACTTATGTAGTGTATAGTTCCTAAGTTTATAATCAATTGAAAGCTTATGTAGATAGTTATCATAAATTAATAGTTAATTAAAAATTAAATTTATTTTTATAAAGATATGTTAATAGCTGATTAAAATTTTTTTATTGAAGTATGATAAATTTTTTTATTAAATTATAATTAAATTTTGTAATTGATTAAAGTTTGTTAGTTTCATATTACTTTTGTTTCAAAATTTAAAATTATTTATTGTATAATTTTTTCTATTTTATGTCCAAAAAATTGAAATAAAGTTATTTCGTATATTTTACGTTAAATTTTTATTTAAAAAATTATTTAAAATTTAAAAGTTATTTTAAAGAAATGAGAAAATGTCATTATATATTTGATTTAATTTCCACGTCACCCCGCCAGGGACACAAAGGTAATAGAATTAAAGAACGAGGAGACGCCATTAACTTCGTGCAAAATACAATCGCAGAGCAGTCGCGAACTCATCTTCTATAGACGTCGCCAGTTGCAAAGAGACGCCATAAACGAAAGAGAAAAGCTTGTGGAAAGACTTGTCAAGCTATCTTTTCCTCCGTATAGAACATTTTCCTGGAAGTAACAATCTTCTCTTTTTGGATCTGAGTAGTAAAGGAATCTGAAACGCAATGGAGAGGCTGAGATCAGTTTTGGAGCAGCACATGGACCAAATGGCAGATCTAGTACAGAAGCTCTCCTCAGACCTCCGCTCGGGTCTCCGACCCGCATACGATAATCTTATGGGCTTCTTCCACGCCATCGACTGGAAGGTATTACTCCTTCCTTACTCCTCTGCTTTATTATCTTTCTATCTGTTTCTATTTGCTTATGAGAAACTAGTGGAGGAAAAGTGTGAAGAAGAAAAGAAAACTTCTTGGTGGTTTGACATTGTTGTGTGATTTTCTCCTTCAGTAAGGTATGGAAAGTTGGAAGCGTGTGAATCATGATTTATAACTACCAAGATAAAAAAAATTTCTTTGCTTAACTCCTTGTGACTATTAACATGTATATGTGAGGATGTGTTTGGTTTTGTAGATTTAGCTGCTGGTTTTGGAAGTCTTGCTTCTCTTTGGTACTATTTACTCTTGTGTTGCATTAATTAAAACGAAATCATGGAAGATTGATTTTAAATCCGTAGTGTGAGGTGAACTTAGTACAATGCAAAAGAATCAGCATTCGTTGTATGGTTTCTACTAAGTCTTTTTCTGTGAAGTGAAATCCTGACAAGATTCATATGTGAAGATCCATTTTTAGCGGTCAAGATTCAATTTCAAAGTACACACATGGCAGTTTCTTTTTTCTTTTTTTGAAAATGTCGACACATGCCAATCTTTAGTAGAATTGCAAATTCATATGTTAAGATCCATTTTTTAATTTTATTTTCTTAAGAATTTTGTATAAGTATCGGTAGAACTCAGTTTCTTTTATAAACCCCTAATATCTGATACTAAAAAATTGGGTTCAGGGTTCCTAGATTGAATCAATAGAATTGCAAATTCATATGTTAAGATCCATTTTTTAATTTTATTTTCTTAAGAATTTTGTATAAGTATCGGTAGAACTCAGTTTCTTTTATAAACCCCTAATATCTGATACTAAAAAATTGGGTTCAGGGTTCCTAGATTGAATCAATAGAGTTGCATCTTAATTTTGTATGTCACAAAGCAGTTATTTCTGGAGACATATATACAGAATGTAGTTTGCAGGAAAATTTGTGTTGGAATTTCAGTCAGAATTTGCTACTTTCGGTGATGATTCAGTTACATGGCTTATACATTTATTTTTTAGTTTCCTTAAATGTTTTGAGATTGGTTGATCTTTTCTAATTCAGCTGTGTCCACAATATGAGTGCAGGTCCTGGGTCATTAACTTCTAAAAATTTTTAAGTATGTACATCTAGAAATTTTATTTTTTGCAAAGTCTGGAAGTTTATAGTGCTGAAGAGCCACATATAACATGATATGTTCTCTTCTATGATAAACTTCAACTGATTTCCTTTAATCATGACCATTTCCTTCTATGTGCCAGGACCTGCTTTTCTAAGAACTTAGCAAGGTGTTTTTCAGTTAGAATTATTTTTTGCCTTAGATGTTGTCCTGTAATCTGACATGTAAGATTCTCTTCCCTGCTCTCTTTTTTTCTACAGGAACCTTGGTTAATGTGCTTGCTGGCATTCCATGTTTTCTTGCTGTTAGTAACAGTTTCCTCTAGGAGAAACACCAACTTCCAAATGTTGTTGTTCCTCCTGGCATGTAAGTTTACTCATCTCGTGCGCTGCCATCTTCAACATGTTACAAGATTTTTTTTTGTTAATTAACATGTTTCCTTATTTGCTAAAATGGTAATAACTCTGCAAAATGTCTCTCTTGTGATGTCCCTGGTAACTGAAGCATAGAGCACTGGTTTCTTAGGTTTAAGTTGACAGAAACTTAGTCCTCCTTTGCTAATTGAGGGCTCTGATTTGTAGCATATGTTACCCATTTGCTGTTCACATATTTTCCCACCATTTTATCAAAGTTCCTCAGTTGTTGTCTCATTAATAGCCCTCGGTATGCCCTAAATTATATTATATCATCTCCTGGTTTTACCTATCATGTTCCTCTTGCACCTTAAAATGAAGGTTTAATAGGTTCCCCTTGATTAGAAATCTATATAAAAAAATTAACATGATCTCTTTGGAATATCAAAGTGTTTTGTGAGTTGGAAACACTTATGATTTTGATCCCATTTTAATATTCCCTTCAATACTTTTCCTCCACTTGTTTCTTCAATTTATTTCTTGTCCGTTTAGTGCGCTGATTCCTACAATCCACTACCCCCAGTCCATCCCCCAGCCCAACAAAAGAGGTTAAAGAACTAAAGGGTAGAAAGTGAAACCTTTCCCTCCCTCTATTACAAACCTGTGCGTGTAGACATGCACGCACATATATTTACGAGTAACTTGAAGATTTGAAATTGCATTTTATGTGGAGATTCTTTTACGGCCAATTTATTTAATTCAATTGATAATGGTCTATAGTGGCTGGAGTGTATTTCGCGGAGAGGCTTAATAGATTGCTGGGTAGCAACTGGAAGAGATTTGCAACTCAAAATTATTTCGATTCACATGGAATTTTTCTTTCGGTGCTCTGGTCTGGGCCTCTGCTCATTGTTGCAATCCTTATCTTGGTCAGTGCTCATGCTGTTGTTAGTTTTTTGGTCTTTTTGCCTATCTGTTCTGAATTTGTTGCTTTTAAACTGAATTCTCTTTCTTTATTGCAGGTAAACACCCTTTTTTCTCTTTGTAATCTTATTGTTAAATGGAAAAAAGCTGAACTCAGGCACCGGGCAAGGCTGGCACGTAACAAGCAGGATTAATTTTCAAATCCATAAATTTGCTGATCTAGGTGTTTCTCTTCTAGCTGGCTTCGATCATGTGGCAGCCTTGATATGAGTTCTCTTTATTCCTTTGTTATAGCCTTGCAGGTTATGTAACTCAGATGCCTGATAGGCTTTTTTGGAGGTTAGAGCTATCTTCTCCGACTGTAAACACAAAATCTTGTAGATCATACTTGCCTTTTGTTTAGGAGCAAATCCCAGATCATCTTTTTGCTGTGTGCTGATTCTTCTGCAAATTTTTGGAAGTTTGCTTTTGGACTAAAACACCTTTTTTATTGAAGGAGAGAATTGGCCTATGATCATCCGTTAGCAGATACTGAAACTATATATATATTTTTTTTCCTTTAATGTTCTGATAGAATTTAAACTTAAAAAAAATCTGGCCAATTAATAAGAGGGATACTATATAGAGAATCAGAAATAGAGTGCATGTATCCCTGGGGAACGATTAGTGGGCGACCAACCCTTATACACACTATATGGATTGTCATCCCATCCGGATGAAAATGAGTTGATGACAAGTTATCAAAAATCAAATCACAGTAGTCTACTACAATTTGGTCATTAGTGCTTGCAACCTTGCTCCCTGCTAATTTAGATACATTTGATCAATGTATTTTGGGGAATTGATGAACACGATTGTTTTATTGTAAATGTGCTTATGATGTAGTGAGCATGGGATAAGGGGAACAAAGACTTGTTTTTCATAACAGACTCTCTATGAATAAACCAAGACAGAACCATCATTGCATCGAGGGAACTGGTGTATTCTGTGGCCTATAGGTCTGATACTTCCATACATGTTATTAAGAGATTGTCATAACACATGAAGGGTTTGGGAATCCATCATCCTAAGGATGCATGTAGATCAAAGATGATGCACACATCTATCACCACAATATGGGAGGAATTCATTTGGTCATAAATTTTTTTTTTTTTTTTTTATTTGAACAAATTTTATTGGTCTCTTTGTTACATTTTATCAAATTATAAAAGATTATACAACATTCTCTGTAGAGAATACAGATAGAAACGACTGCTTCTTCCAAACCTAAAATTGGATCAGGTTTGATACAGTTAAACTTTAGTTCTAGTAGAAATGAGATGAAATTTGATATGTGCAAATATAGAAAGTCAATGGTTGGAAAGATTCTTTGATATAGAGCCTTGAATATTCTGTATACTAAATTTATTGCTGTCTTGAGGAGTAGTCTTACTCTTAGAACCTGTAAAAGATGATAAATTTGTTTCGTCAAGGACCTTTGTCAATATTATCCTCTAATGAGAAATGTTCAAAATGTTTCACATTGAGAACTTAGTCCCCAACCATAGGAATAAAGTCGACAACATATAATAATGCTGTAGATTTGGATTGTATTTCCTTTTCTCTCTACAGCAAGCAAACAAATATACAATCTTTTTAAAATATAATAATGACATCAAATTATCAAATTAATACGTCAAAATTAATTTGGTATTCGTCACAATCACCTCCCTAATGTTTTTTTCTTTATAATTTAGTTTCTGATTTTTTCTATTTATTTTAAATACCTAATTTACTTATATTTTTCAATATAAAAAAAAAAATTAAAATAGTTCAATTATATTTGGATATATTAAAAAATAGTTTAAATAAATTATATTAAATAATTAATTAAATTAATAGATTAATATATTGATAATAATATTACACCATTTTTTTATTGCTCTTCACTCATTAATTTAATTAGTTAATCAAAGTTATTTTTAAATTATTTTTTTTAAAGTATTCAAATATAATTTAATTATTTTAATTTTTTATTAATTTAATAATTTATTCTAATAATAAGAAAATATAAAAAAAAAGTTAGAACTTATAAATTTTATTTTTTTCATATTACTTCTTTTTTTTTTACTGTCATTTATTTGTTGTTAAATTTAAAAGATTAAACTAATAAAATTTTCAAATTAATTTTATAAAATAAAATGATGTTCACATTTTCGTAGAAATGCAAAGGGAAAATGATTTCCTTAATTTATTGACTTGGAAAGCTATAATTGGTTAATCCTTGCATTTGAATTTTTTGTTCTTTTGTTTTTTTTTTAAATAGCCGTTGTAAACAGGAGGTGCAATCTTTAACGGTCAGCTTTTCAAATATTTAAAATCAAAATTCTACCTTCCACCAAGAAAAACAAAAATAATAAAATCTTTTCTTTTTCTTTTCTTCTTTTTGTTCTCTCTCAAAAAAACGTTACAGTATACAAGATCTCTCAAATTCCATTCGCCCCATTTCACACGGATCGTTCCTTTCTCCTCCTCTCGCCCTCTCGACGATGGCAGACAGACAAGAAAAAGGAGCTGAATCGGAGGAACATGAACGGAAAATCCCAGTGTTTACAGTGATGAAGAACGGTGCAATTCTCAAGAACATCTTCGTCATCAACCAGCCACGATTCCCGTTATCGCCATTGTTCACTTCCAACCCGGAATCGATCAATTCAGCGAAAATTGAGGACAAGATTAATCAACAAATGGAGGAGACACTAATCGTCGGTCGACACCCTGACTGCAACATTATGTTGACCCACCCCAGTATCAGTAGATTCCACCTCCAACTCCACTCCAGGCCTTCGTCGCAGAAGCTCTCTGTAATCGATTTGTCATCTGGTAATCACTAATTTTGTTTCTTATTTCATTTTGGGGTTGATCGGATTCACTCTCCATTTAGGTTTCCTTTTAATAGGTTCTTGAATTTAGTTTTGCGTTTCTTGATTGGAAATCTGACGTGCTGCAGTACATGGGACCTGGGTTTCGGAGAAGAGGATCGAACCGGGGGTTCGAGTGGAGCTGAAAGAGGGTGATACCTTAAGGGTTGGTGGCTCGACAAGGGTTTACAGGCTGCATTGGATTCCTTTGGTCCGTGCATATGACATAGAGAACCCATTTGTACCGGAAATGGATTTGTCCACGGAAAAATTGGGGGAAGAAGAAAATCCAGTGGTTGTGCCAGAAATTGCAACTGAGACAAATCAGGTTAGCTTTTTCTTTTTTGTGCTTTTCTCCAGAAGAAATCTGAGAATGGCAACAAGATTGTGCAAGTCTGTGAAACGAGAACTGAAGTATTACTATGTAGATTAACTTGTTAGGCAAACTGTAATCCATTTACTCTTTTCTTCTTATTGTAGTTTTGTGTAGTGGAAAATAAAATTAAATCCCCAGGGGGAAAGATTCAGTTGAGGTCCTTGAAAAAGAAGAACAACCGCATGTACTGGTGATTTGTGGTTGAACATTATAGAAAGAGAATAAATGTTGAAACGTTAAGCAGTGATGGTTGATTATTGATTTTGATTTTTGTTCGTTAATTGAAATAAAGTGATGGTAATTTTGATTTGTCAAACAAATATATTGAAGAGAGATTTATCAGTAGTAGAAACAGAAGGGAAAAGGATCAGAATACAAAGTAAAAATGGGTTAAAAAGCTGTAGATATGTAAATTATCTAGGTGTCTGTAAAAGGGGTATTCTACTTATTTATTCTTATTTTTTTGGTTTTCCTTCTTGGTTTGGCAGATCGTGGAGGAAGGAAATTCCGTGCCTAATGAAAGTGAAAACTTTGAATCTCTGGATATTACTTTTGAGGATACGGATTCCTTGTTTGCTGATGAGAATTCAGAAGTAACTCTAGAGAAAGAGATCCCCTCAGCACCGTTGATGCCCAAATGGGATTCAGTCTTGGATGAAACAGGAGATGTTAGCCCACCTAGTAATGACCATGAATCAAGCGATATCTCAAGTCCCTGCAAACAGCCTGGGGTGGATATTCCCTTCGAGCCCCAGAATCAACAATTTGACATGAATAACCAGAGCTCGGAAATAACTCTGAAGAAAGAGATCCACTCAGCACCATTGATGCCCAAATGGGATTCAGTCTTGGATGAGACAGGAGGTGTTAGCCCACCTAGCAATGACCATGAATCAAGGGAGATATCAAGTCCCTGCAAACAGCCTGCAGTGGATGTTGCCTTGGAGGCCCAAAAGCAGCAATTTGACATGACTAACCAGAGCTCAGAAATAACTCTGAAGAAAGAGATTCCCTCAGCACCATTGATGCCCAAATGGGATTCAGTCTTGGACGAGAAAGGAGATGTTAGCCCATCAAATAATGATCATGAATCAAGGGAGAGCTCAAGTCCCTGCAAACAGCCTGCGATGGATGTTGCCTTGGAGCCCCAAAATCAGCAATTTGACATGAATAACCAGAGCTCAGAAATAACTCTGAAGAAAGAGATCCTCTCAGCACCATTGATGCCCAAATGGGATTCAGTCTTGGACGAGAAAGGAGATGTTAGCCCACCTAATAATGATCATGAATCAAGGGAGAGCTCAAGTCCCTGCAAACAGCCTGGGGAGAAAGTTGCCTTGAAGCCCCAAAATCAGCAATTTGACATGAATAACAAGAGCTCAGTTGAGTCTGTCCCAGAACTCCTATCTGAAAGGGAAAGTTTATTCGGAAGAGTGAACAAAGATGCTAACCTCTTGTCAAACTTGGACTCTTCTGAATCGCCTAAAGAAGTGGCAGCTAAAGCAACTGAAAATGAAAGCCAAAGACAAAAACGGAATGAACATGCCTGGGATAATTCAAGTCCTTTATCTATGTTGCTTGTGACGGAATCTGTGAATTCATTTTTGACAGAAGAGGAGCTTCTTTCAGAAGTGAAAACTACACAGTTCAGCAAAGAAAACCAGACGCAGAGCTCGACACAATTTGCATTGGAACAGCCATCTGAAATTGAGAAAAATGGAAATTCTGCAATAAATGAAAACTTGAACTTTCCGGGGAGCATAAAAAATGTCAAAAAATTTGAAGAAACTGTGGAAAACCAGAGCTCGACAAGTAAAGGACAGAGGAAAATAAGGATTCAGTGTTCTGCACCTCTTGAAGCAGAGTCTGTGAGTTCATCTTTTCCAGTGGGGGAAGTTCCTGATGCAACAGAAAACAAAGAGAGCCAGACCCCAGAGTCTCACGCCACTGCTGCTGCACTGTCTGAAATAGAAAATTTAGAAGGCTCAACATTAAGGTCAGAGAAAAGATCAAGAGGCGTTCGGTCCAGAACAGGTAAACCTGCTGTTCTTCAGATTCAAACAAGCAGGAGTATAGGAAAGATCAGAGGTGGTAATAACGGTGAAGTTGAATTCCAAAAACAAGAGGGTCTTGTTAAAGGAATAGCTTCAGAGGCTCTTTTCTCTAGCTTAGAGGTAGAAGAAGAGATTTATACTCCAGATAAGGAGAATCTAACCCCAAGGACTCGTCAACTGAAGTTCTTAAAAGAGATAGGAAAGCTGGAAGAACCTTCCCCCAAGGCATACAGACCAATCTCTTCAAAAGCAGCTTTCAACCCCAGTATCAAGCTAGAAGAAGACATGAATGCCTCTTCAGAGAAAGAAAACAAGACACCTTCAAAGTTCTCAAAAAAGAATAGAAGGCTTGAAGAGAGTAATGCATTTTCAGACAAAGAAAACATGACACTTAAGCTTCTGCGCGAACATAAACCATCAAAATACTCCTCAAGGAAGCCAGTTTTGGAGCAAGAAGTAGTGACAATGAAGAAAAGAACAGAAAGGGTGCCATTTCAGTCTTTACTTTTGGACTCTGCAGGGAGACATGGACCAGCTACTACAGCCCCTTCTTATAGCAGCAATTCTGTCAATTATTCTCAACCAACGGAGAAAAGGGTCACTTGCCCCTCTTCTGTAAGTTGATAAAAAATCTTTCTACTTTATAAGATTGCATTCTTGTAATTCTTAGCGGTAGTTTTACCATGTATATAAATTAATTGAAGTTCATTCTGTAGAAAAACTATGTTCAAGAGGCTAAGAGGAGCTGGACTATAATAGTCGACACTACTAGTCTTTTGGACAAGGAATCAAGAAAGTCTCTGAAGTTGTTACAAGGTCTGAGAGGAACCGAACTAGTTGTTCCAAGAATGGGTAATGAAATTTCGAAAAGGGCCCTTTGTTCCATTTTGCTAAATCTAGTTAATCGAATTTCTAAAATAGCTTCATATCATCTCAACTGCTCCCTTTTCTTTCCTGACAACCAGCGGATTGGTTTCTTTATTCCAGTTATAAGGGAACTAGATTGTTTGAAGCAACGTGGTAGCTTGTTCAGAAGAACCACTGAGGCTTCTACTGTTTTAGAATGGATTGAAGAGTGTATGATGAAAACAAAGTGGTGGATTCATGTGCAGAAGTTATTGGAGGATGTAAGGCCAATTGCGCCAACCCCTCCCGCTTCTCCAGAGTCTCGATTCAGTGGTGGGGGATCTTCAGGTTGGACAACAAGCTCGGGGCCATTCTCAGCGCATGGGATGACGGAAATTGTTTCACCAACAGCAAAAGACCACATCCTCGACTGCGCCCTCCTCTATAGGAAGATGAAGAGTGATGGACAGCTCGTCCTTCTAAGCAATGATATCACTTTAAAGATCAAGGCCATAGCAGAGGTACCATTTTTCTCTCTTAGTATCTGTTGGCTTTATGTATTGTTTTGGTGGCCTTGTGTCTGTTTAGGAGACCAAAAATGTGAAAAACTGGAGAGAGAACTGAGATCTGGAAAAAAAACGTAGAAAACAGAGAACGAAGGCAGCAGAGAGAGAAGAGGAAGAAGAAACAATTTCTTTAGGTTTAAAAAAAAAAAAAAAAACTTATTCTTCTGGCTTCATTAGAACTCTAAATAAACATTGCTAAAAAAAGAACTTGATCATTAACACAAGTTTCCTATACAATTCTAAACCAAAAGATAAAAGATCAAATCATGGTTAAAACATTATTTGAGGATTGACAGAAAAAATGTCAACAGTATCTCACTGTGGTTTCACAATTTATATTCGTACTTTTGCTAGCATATATCATGTAAGTTATAAATTATTTGGGGATGTTAATTGAAGAAATCTACCAAGTTTGAGGATCTAACATGTATAAACGAAAAAGTGCAAATAGGGGCTTCTTCCCACTATCTTTTTCCTCAGTGGTAATAGACATGTGATCTGTTTTGTTGTTGCAGGGTCTAATATGTGAAACAGCCGAGCAATTCCGTGAGAGCCTGGTGAACCCTTTCTCTGAGAGGTTCTTGTGGGCAGAGAGCTCTCCTAGAGGACTTACTTGGTCTCATTTAGATGATATAGTGTTGAGGGAGAAGTATAGTCGTTACCCTGCAAAGAAGTCATCAAAGGGAGAAGGTGCAAAGGGTCTGAAGCTCATTCTGCTCCATAACTCTCACTATGGGCATATCTAAACTTGTGTCAGGTAAAAATAAAACAATTAGTATACATGTATATTGGTTTCACTTGGTTGGGTTTGGGCAAAAATGATGATTGAAAAGGTTATAACTGTTTCTTAGGTTGAGAAGATTTTTGACGGGATTTCAATCTTAAATTTAGATCGTTTAGATTTTATCCGTTACTTCTTTAAATTTTAATAATGGCTTATTTAACTTAAAAATATGTTTGAATTTCTCTTTCTAAATTAATTAAATATTAGATTTGGTAAAACTTGGTCACATATTTTTTTTCATTCAAATGATACATTTGAAGAAACAAAATATTTAGCTAACTTGGTAAGAAGAATCATATCTTCTCAAAGAAAGTTTCAATTAAATTTAACAAAATTTTGACTTTATTAATTAAATTAATAAATGATACATTATTTTAATATTAAATAAATATTATATATATGTAAGGAAAGATAAAATTCTTGTTCAAACTATTTAAGATCAACGGAAGATTATACTATTAAGTAAACATCCAGCAGCGTCAGTAACGTTATGAGTTATTTATCTGAAGTCGTAGTTTTAAGTGAGATATATATAGCATAGTTTATTCAATTATTTTATATGCAGACTATTTAATTTATAATTATAAATTGAGAAAATAATAATAAAAAATTATAAATAGAATAAACTTAGCACTTATTTTTGTTTTTGTATAATAAATTCAAGGTTAAAATAATGAAAATATTTAGTGGAGTTATTGTACAGCAGAAGCTATTTTATATTTAGCATAAATGAAATAAAAAAGAAATCGGAAAATGTTCATGGCCACTCACTTCTCCACATTTTCGTCTGGTCCTTTTCATCGCTAATATTTTTTATTTTTTTATAATTATAAATATTCAGATATAACAAATAAAATTTTATTTAAATATTCACCTTAAAAATAATCTTACGACTTGTAAATAAAATATTAGATTTTTATTAAAAAACAATCTGCATTATTGATAAGATCTACTTTACTTTTTTAAAAAAATAAATAATAAATATATTTTTTGATATTTTCGAACACGGCGGTGGCGCAGCTTCCTGGTACCTACCCTACCTCTCCGCTTCGCACTCCCCACCCCCCAATGCAACAATTCCATAATTTTGGTGTATAAATATTTACTTATTCAATATAATAATTATAATTTATTAATTAATTTGGTATTAGATTTTTTTTTTTTATAGATATGCTTAAATATTTTAATTATTTGTAAACATAATTATATTTTATTTGATATATTTATATGTAAGGTATTGAGATATGTTTAAAAAATTATATATCATTTAGTTTTTTGGTAAAAATGTTACATTTCATTTACAATTATTATTACTAGTCATATAATAATTTTAACAAATTATTCATGTTAAGGGAGGCAGAGAGAGCATCATCTTAGTTGTGCGGGACCCACCGTCGCCCAATCATGTTTCAGATAATTTTTTGGGTCTCCTTGTGCCCTCATGTTCGTTTCCCATACATATGTAGACAAAACCACCCAACTATACACACCTTATTAATCAGACGGTATTGATTTTGACCCACCAACGGCTGCGATTGATTGGCCCATCAGCTATCGTCAAGCGAGAAATTTGCAATCATGAATCGTCACTGAAGACAGTGATTCAACCAAACGGACGGTGGTGATTGCTAGAGTTGACTTCTCATATTCCGACTGAGATAACACAGGAGTGTCCTTCTTGCACCGAGATTGCTGATGAATTCATCCACTCAACCTTCATTTCTCTTCCTCATTTCTCCTTCCTCTTCTCTGGGTATGAAACAAGGAGCATCTGAACTATCTTCAGCCTGGTAAGGTTCTCTCTGTACTGAGTTCTTCTGGGTTTTATCAGCCATGATTTTATGGGTATTGTTGTCCTGTTCTAGGTCTTTTCTATTTTTATCCCCTTGTCTGGATTAGTTTTATAGCTTCGAATTTTCGAGTGTTGCAGATATGGTTATGGAGAAATTTGAGGTCTTTCGATTTTTTTTTGCTGCTACAGTGTTCTGCTAGTACCGGTTTTAAGAATTATGGGGATACTAAATTGACTTCAAAAATATAAAGATGAGATTCTTTTCTTTTTTTGGGTGGAGGGAAGGAGGGAGATTGTAGTTTCGGTTGATCTAAACTGATCTTGACTGAAGTAGGGCTTTCGGATTTTATTGGATAATTCTTGAACCATAAAAATGTTTCCAAAAGAAAATTCATAGACCATAAAAAAGTTTCAATTTTTTTCTGAGAGTTCCAAGGAAGATGTTTGACTCAAAATAGTTTCAATTTTGATGGTGATCGTTATTTTGGAACAAAATTAGAAATTTCATGAAAATTATTTACAAATTCACTTGTATTAAGTCATTACAGGAAGTAAATTCTACTAGAGAGCCTAGCTTTTTTCTTTTTTTTGTTGAAAAAATATCTATCAGAAATTAATAGATTTTGACCTTATATAGAACTTTATACGTAGGATAGGAGTTATGCGTTCGAGATTTTATAAAGTTGGTGGAATTTAGAATATAGATTGATCCAAACACATTAAACTCTATACAAGATCAATTTAACGTTATTTAGTGGAGTATTTTCACCATTTCTAGTGAATTAAGTATGAATTTTCTAGATAAATTTCACAAGTTTCTAGATGTGTGCCCAAACATAACTTCACCATATAATTTGATTTCAGAAGCTGGTTTTTTTCCATGTTGTGCTTCATGTTTGATGGACTAAAATTTCATGTTTGTTTGGTTGGATTTTGATACTGGATGTAGAAGAATTTGAAAATGGATACTAAAGAGAGATTATGTCCGGACAATTGGGGAAACTCTTCTTCCTCAGGGAACGAACTATACAAAAAAGTATCCTCGGATCACAGGTCTTTTACTGGTTTCGGCTTGCAGCAAAATCACCAGAAATGGGAAGATCCCTCCTTCTTAGAATATGCCATGAGGATTGAACCTCCATTCCAAGAATTCAACCAGCCTTCTCAAACTCAGTTTTCGCTTTGCAACCAAAATGATCAAATGAGAATTCTGGTTCAAGAAAATGGCCAGGAGAATGAGATGCTTGAATCCAATAAAATCCAAGATTGGGATCCAAGGGCAACACTTAACAATCTGTCTTTCCTGGAACAAAAGATCCATCAGCTACAGGATTTGGTGCATTTGATTGTTGGTCGAAGAGGGCAGACTTTAGGGCATCCAGATCAACTTATAACTCAGCAACAGCATCTTATTACTGCTGATCTCACTTCAATTATTGTCCAGCTAATTTCTACTGCTGGAAGTCTTCTCCCATCGGCAAGGCATTCACTTTCTGCAGCAAATCCATCTGGGGCACAAATTGGGCAGCTCGGTGGAGTTCTCTTCCCTCATGCAAGAGGCCTTCATGGTGAGATGCAAACACAAAATAATTGTGGAAGCAAAGTTTCTGATTCTTCCACCAAGATTGATCCTCCTACTAATTATCAGGTTGATGAAAACCACATTGTTGAAGAACATGAGTTGAAAGAAGAGGAAGATGTCGATGAAGGGGAAAGTCTTCCTCCTGGTTCCTATGAGATTTTGCAGTTAGAAAAAGATGAAATCCTTGCACCTCACACCCACTTCTGCACAATATGTGGAAAGGGTTTTAAGAGAGATGCCAATTTACGGATGCACATGAGAGGTCATGGAGATGAGTACAAGACAGCAGCTGCCCTGGCAAAGCCTGTTAAAGAATCAAGCTCTGAGCCAATACTTATCAAGAGGTATTCTTGTCCTTTTCCCGGCTGCAAGCGTAACAAGGATCACAAAAAGTTTCAGCCTTTGAAAACAATCTTATGTGTGAAAAACCACTACAAGAGAACACATTGTGATAAGAGTTTCCTTTGCAGTCGGTGTAACACTAAGAAATTCTCAGTCATTGCAGACTTAAAAACTCATGAAAAGCATTGTGGCAAGGATAAATGGCTTTGTTCCTGTGGCACAACATTCTCAAGGAAAGACAAGCTGTTTGGACACATTGCTTTGTTCCAAGGTCACACTCCTGCCATTCCCCTTGATGAAACTAAAACATCTGCTGGGCCATCTGGTCGAGGAGAAAACAACGAAGCAAGATACAAGGTTGGAAGTATAAATTTCAATTTTGCTTCCAACACTCCTGTGCTAGCTGTGTCAACTATTATGGATGTGAAAGGAGTGTAGAGATCCAGCAGCTGTTTTCGCTTTGATTTGATACGTG